TCTTCATCAGTAAGTGCTTCAAGTCCTCTTCACTTGCAGCAAGCAAGGTTGTGTCATCTGCATAATGCAGGTTGTTAATTAGTCTTCCTCCAATCCTGATGCCCCGTTCTTCTTCATATAGTCCAGCTTCTTGGATATTTGCTCAGCATACAGACTGAATAAGTATGGTGAAAGGATACAGTTTTGACGCACACCTTTCCTGATTTTACACCACGCAGTATTCCCTTGTTCAGTTCGAACGACTGCCCCTTGATCTATGTACAGGTTCCTCATGAGCACAGTTAAGTGTTCTGGAATTCCCGTTCTTCGTAATTATTATCCATAATTTGTTATGATTCACACAGTCAAATGCCTTTTCATAGTCAGTGAAACACAGGTAAACATCTTTCTGGTATTCTATTCTCTGCTTTCATCCAGAATCCATATACCATCAGCAGTGATATCGCTTGTTCCACATCCTCTTCTGAATCCGGCTTGAATATCTGGCAGTTCCCTGTGGAGGTACTGCTGCAGCTGCTTTTGAATGATCTTCAGCAAAATGTTAACTGGTGTGTGATATTAATGATACTGTTCGGTAATTTCCGCATTCTTTTGAATCACCTTTCTTGGGAATAGGCATAAATGCGGATCTCTTCCAGTCTGTTGGCCAGCTGCAGAATTTAAAATTGTTGAGTATTGTATTTTAGGTGGATGACTAGGTTCGGAATTGTAAATCATGGTGATTTTTATGTTAATGAGCTGTTTTGGGGTGGGATTTATAAGAAAATGTGTGTACTCTGGTTTCTTTTTTTTTTCATGTTCTTTTATGAGTTAATTTATGCGTTGACTTCAGGGATTTGGCATATGGAGAAAACTTTGAGCTGAACCGTTGAATTTAAAATCAATGTTATATGTAATAGTAACTGGAGTGGATTAAAAAAGAAGAAATGTCGGGAAAAGTAGTGTCTCCTCTGATGGTGACAGTAGAGCATGAAGTGACGGAGCCTGTCAGCCTCACACGGGGTGGTGTGGTCAGGTTTGTGCCGTGTGACTGTCCCTCGGATGTCCATTCTGTGAGAGGAAAGCCATGCCGTAGAGGCCATTCCAGAAGACGAGGCTCTGAGGTGGTTCATGGAGGCCGACTCTGATGCCAAGTTACAGCTTCCTACACTCGGTGAACCTGGAGAAGGGGTAGTCATTCTGCTAGGTTTCCCCCTTCTTTTACAGGTGTCTGGGCACAGAACACTGAGCAATGACTGCAGTTGTTTTTTGTTGCTTGTTTGATGTTGCTCCTTTTAATGGTTTTAGATTTAGAAATTCAAAGGAATTTAATACTTTATTTCTCCGCAAGGAAAGCGATCCATTATACTGTTTATAGTTGTTCCTTCCTTCCGAGATCTGTCGAGCCTTTTCTGATGCTCGTGGGAGGCTATAGCCACAGTAACAACAAAGACACGAGTACCATTAAAAAAGCAAACAAACACAACCCTTTAGTTTATTGCCAGAGAAAAGGGCCTTTATAAAAATGCCTTGCTTTTTTTGTGAAATTATCTGGCTTTAGAGGGATTAAAATTAGCTCATGTTCCAAAATACTTGTGAGCACACAGAGCATTTAGAAGCAGTTGGAGCTGTTTGAAAGTTCTCTTTTTAGCAAATTAGCAGTGTTAGCTTTCGACATTTGGTATTTCTTTATGATAAAATACTGATGTGTGTTTTACATGTTCTTACTCTCTCTACGTATTTTTTTTTAAGATCTCAGGATTGTGGTGAGAATCTTGAGGTTTTAAGTCAATTAGGGAAGGTTGTCTAAATACTTCAAGAGGAGTGACGAAGACTCAGGACTAATTTAGCAAGTAGCACTCTGTCCTCCAGGGGGCGGCAAATTTCTCCCACCCACGTCTTAATTGTTTTCAGTTTAGTCTCCATTTTTGGACCCCTAGTCTGCATCTGCAGCATGAGCCCTGGTGGTGCGGTGGTTAAGTGCTTGGCTGCTCACCGAAAGGTCAGTGGTTCAAACTCACCAGCAGCTTCTCGGGAGAGAGATGTGGCAGTCTGCTTCCATCAAGATTACAGCCTTGGAAACCCTGTGGGTGGGGCAGTTCTCCTCTGTCCTGTAGGGTCACTGTGAGTCGGAATCGACTTGACGGGAGTGGGCTTGGTTTCAGACAGAATTATGAATCTGTGATGGCCGATGGCCACTTGAGAAATCCCATCGATGATCTCTGGTGGGGGCTGAGGTGGACTCTTACTTTGCAAATTACAGTGCAGTTTCCCCAGTCCTGAAGGATCTCGGGTTCCAATACTTCTCCCCCTCTTTTCTTGCCGGCTTCCTTCTGCCTCTCAGTCTTCTTAGCATAGTTTTAGGCTCTGAGAACCGTGTCCCTCGTCAGTCTTGAGAGCCAGCAGAGAGCAGTAGGGGCTGTCAGGAAAGGTGTGGACAAGAACAGGGTCTACCCCAGACCTCTGGGCATCCATCAGTTTACGTGCCCCGGGAGACGGCGCGGTAAGGCCGGGACATTCTTAAGCGAAGCTGCTTGGGGATTCAGGCGTGGTTTATTTAGAAAGCCACTATCTGTAGCTGTCTAGTGGTTTCTCCAGGTAGCAGATGCCGCGTACCAAGGCCACACTATCTACATTTGCCCAAACACTGCTGGGAACAGTAATTAACCTGAGTTGGACCGTTTGAGGAATAGAGTTGAGGAAAGATAAAAAACTGGGCCCCAAAGAACGTATTAATTAGAACTTTCATTTTTAAGAAAAAATTTAATAGGAATTTTTGTTAATTGGGTTCTGAGTTAGTTTATTCTTTAAGACTTATATTTTGTGGTAAAATATCATTTTATTCTCATGCTCAGATACCAAGGTATAAAGGACAAGGTAAAAAGAAGAAGAGCGGGGAGAAGTCTGGTGAAAAGGTAACATGCATGAGAGAGAGAGAGCACGAGGCTGGCGAGTGCTGTTGAGTTTCCCCGAGGGGGACGGCTGCTGCAGGCACAGCCCAGGCCATAGTGACCTCGGGTTTGGCCTTAAAGTCCCATCAGCCTAGGGTCTTGAGTTCTTGTTTGAGATGCCCCTTTCATATATTTATGATCAGAACAATATGGAGTAATGGTGGCCTAGAAGAAAAAGTAATTTAACTTTCAGTTTTTATCCAGGTGAAATTCATACGGATGTATTTTAAAACTGTGCTGCAATTTTTTATTTAAAAAACTGTTTTATTGGCAATAAAAATTGAAAATACTTATTTTCCTTTTGGAAACCCTGGTGGCCTAGTAGTTAAGAGCTATGGCTGCTGACCAAAACGTCGACAGTTCAAATCTACCAGGCGCTACCTGAAGAGCATATAGGACAGTTCTCCTCTGCCCTGTAGGGTAGCTATGAGTCAGAATCGACGTGACGGCAACAGGTTTTATTTTCCTTTCGAATGGATGATCATGTACATATTCTTAACGTTATGATTTTATCTGAGGAAGCTAGAATTCCAGAGAACTTTCTAGATAAGTTCCAATAAAGAAATTACAGATTAAAGTTCGTTTCCTTCAAGACCTTTTTATTTATGATCAGCGACTTACGCCATCGCTGGCCACATGTTAGCCTGGCCTCGGAGCCCCTGGCCTCTGAGTGCTTGTGGGCTGGCAGCCTGCGTGGTGGGCACCAAGAGGGCCTGCAGAGTGCCACTGCCTCGGCTGCTGTGTTTCCCTCCCCAGACCTCACACGTGTTGACCAACCCAGAAGGCTCGCTCGCTGCAGATAAAATTTTTATATCTATTTAGAGTAAGTCAAAATGATTAACTTTTAGTTCTGCGGATTCATTAATCCTGTGTTGACCCTTGGTTTACTTGTAGAATTTTTTCCACTAAGTTGAAAACCTCCAAAATTAAAGGGTTTTAAAAAATTATATTTGCTGCCTGAGCTGGCTTCAATTCTGTGCTTTCAGTGGAAATCCCTATCGTATGCTCCTTGTTCACACTGTTCCTTGTGAGAAGATGTTCTAAAATATCACTCAGCAGGCGTCATTGAAACATTTATCTGGTGAAGTCACTGATAAATGTGGTGGACAAGACACATTCAGCTTACTTTGGGGGCTGACAGTCTCACTGGAGAGGTGAGACATACCTCAAAAAGATAAGACTAGAAAGCAGAAGACTGCAAAATAGCCTGCTCTTTATAGAGGCTTATAATGAGTTCCCTGGACTTGTTTTTTTTTAAAGGTTCAAAGAGCCACATTTCTCATAGTATTAATTTTTTACAAACTTCTTGGTGTCAGGGGCTTTAAAGAAGTTCAAACATTTGCAGAAGTTTGCACATGTAATGAGAGCATACTAAGAGGCAGCCTTTCTGGCCTTGTGCAGAGCAGCACAGCCGTGGGCCAGCCTTTCCCACCCACAGCGCCTTGCCCAGGCCTCCCTCCCACCCTTCCTCCTACCCTCCCTCTGTGCCTCCCTCCTTCCCACCCACTGCACCTCCCCGCCTCCCTCCTTCCCACCCACTGCACCTCCCTGCCTCCCTCCTTCCC